TTCAAGAGGCTTCCTCTTCCAGGGAAATTACTCTTGCCGTTGCCAGAAGTCAGGTCCTACATATGTGGAATTATTTCTCAGCTTTATATTCTGTTCTATTGACCTGGTACACCAATGTCACCGATTCCTGTCCTTACTACTAAGCCATATGATCAGCTTAATTTCAGTGGAGTGATTCCCCATGTTAGTCTTCTTTTTAAGATCATTACCTATTATAGGTCTGTAACTTTCCATAGAAATTTTAGATAAGCTTTCTATGTCTACAAAACCTTGATGGATTTTGCTAATAACTGCATTTAAAATGTAATCAATGGAGGTGAATTGACATCTCTACTAGGTTAATTCTCTAATCCATAAATACAATATGTCTCTCTGTGTGCCTTTTATTCTTTAATTTTTACTTTTGCTTTGCACTATAGTAGTGCTTGATTTCCTGTATCGTGTAATAACCACTGCAGAATGGTTGCCTTGTTCTGCTCCTAGGGAAAAGCATTTAGTCTTTCACTATCAAGAGTGATATTAGCTATGGGTTTTTTATGGTGCATTTGGTCAAGTTGAGGTAATTATCCTCTACTTGTGAATTGGCTCAGATATGAATGAGGTTGTATTTAGTCAAATACAATTGTTTAATTCTTCAACTGATATGATACTACTGTTCCATGTAGCTTATTGGTAGGAGGAATTACATTGCTGGTTTAAAGAATAGTGAATAGCTTGTATATCTGAGTGACTTGGCATGGAGTGTAATTATTTTCATAGGGTGTTGGAAGAGGCTTGCTAATATTTTGTAAGGATTCTTTTCATCTATTTCATGAATATGTTGATCTATAACTTTCTTTTCTTATCATGGCTTTCTGGTGTTAGTGTAAGGTAATACTGTCTTCATGAGTTGAGAAGTGTTTCATCTTTCTCAATTTTCTCAATAAGATCATATAAATTATCCATTAAATAGCTGGTAAATACTAGCAAATTTCTTGGCTGGGAAATTTTTTTGAGGAAATTTTTAAATAATGAATTCAACATTTACTTGTAATTAAAACTATTTAATGTTTATTCTATTAGTTTATTTAGTATTTTTTTTTTCAAGGAATTGATTCATTTCTTCTTCATTGTTGATTTATGCATAAAGCTCATTGCTCATATTCTTATTACTTTACAACATCTGAAGAATATGGTGAATGATATGATAACTAAACAATCACTTTTAATTATTCTAAAATTAGTGATTTGTATCTGCTATATTTGCTCTATTTCTTTTACTGCTACAGGATTATCAAGTATTGATTTTTTTACCAAAAACCCTGATCTTGGTTTCATTATTTCTCTAATTTTTGTTTGTTTACATTTTCCTTAACTTCTGTATTATCTTTATTATTTATTTTTTCTGCTTGTTGTGTTTCTTTAATTTGCTGCAGAAGACTGCAGTAGTAGTAGATTTAAGACATTTACTAAGTACTTAGTGCTATCCATTTACCAATCATCACTGCTTTATTTGCATCCAAATAGTCATGTTATATTTCATCTCGTTTTACTTCTATGTATTTCTATTTCTAGTAAGATGTTCTCTTTGTCCATGGATTATGTAAATGTGATTTGTTTACTTCTCATATGTTTGCAGATTTTGTATGAGACTTTTTGTTACTGATGTTGTTTGATTCCATCTATACTAACATCTTTTATGATTTAAACTTAATTTAAATGTGTTGGTATTTGTTTTATGCCTAGTACATGGTCTCTGTGGAGAGATTCCATGCATTCTTGAAAAAAATGTGTATTCAGTGAATATCTTTTAATTAGATCTGTTGGTTAATTATATGGTTTAGATCTTTTATATCTTGGCATATTTTGTATTTAGGTATATCTATCAGCTACTGAGAAAGGGATGTTAATTTCCAATATAATGTAGATTAGCTATTTTTCAGCCTTCACAGTTTATTCTATATTTGTGATTCTCTTGTTTCATGCATATTGATATTCTTTGTGTAGCTTTGTTTTGCATGTATGTTGTATCTATATTTGTGCATAGTTCTCTAGTTTTTGTAGTTAGTAGTTCCTCTGGATATTACAATATGCATATGTGACTAATCAAAACTGTAGATATCAGTATTGTACACACATAGGGTGAGTGTTGAAGCCTCATTCTATTTAAGTGCATTTACCTTCCCACTTTTAATATCATTTCATGATACTAAATGTTATAATTTCTGTTTCAGTCAACAATATTATTTATAGAATCAAGGGGAAAAGGATAGGAACATAGTATATGTTCCCATATGTCTGGACTATCTGCTATTCTTTTTTCCTTTCTAATGTTCCATGCTTTTTTTTTTTATCATCTTCACTGTGTCTGAAGTTCTGCTTTAGTAACTCTCTAATAGTAGGTCTTGTTAGCAGAAACTATTTTATTTTACCTTCCTCATTTTTTCACTTTTATTCCTGAAGCATAGTTTTACAGATATAGAACTCAGGCTAATGGTTCTTTCTATAGTGCTTTGATAATAGTGTGCCACTTCATTCTGGCCTTCAGGTTTCAGATGAAAATGCACTTTATTAAAATTGGTGTTTCTCTATAAGTATATGTCATTTGTTTTCAAAATTTTCTATTTTCAGAAGTTTAATATGATGTGTCTTTGCATAGATTTCTTGAAAATATCCTGTTTAGGTTGATGCAGCTTCTCAGATCGTCCTAATCTACACAGATCTAATCAGTCCCTCATCCATTTGATTTTTTTTTTTTTTTTTTGGTCTATTTTTAAAAAAAGCAGTTTACAATTTGTTTTACCTAACAATAAGAGAGAACCAACTTCAGCGACTCAATGAATATTTCCACGTGACAAGAAATGTAGAGCCACATGGTCCAACGAGGCTGCAACTTCTCCGCGAAGACATCCAACACCAGCCTTTGTCTTCCCGCTCTGCTGCTCCCGTCCTGTGTCGCCATCTGCCTGCCCGCAGGTGGCGGCTCTACAGGCAGAAAGGAGAAGGACAAAGGACACATGTCAGTGCACATGTGCCCTCTGTTCAGAAAATAACACCCTGCAGAAGCTGCACAAAATAGACTCTGTCCACTGCCCTGAGTGGAGAAGTGACTGAGCACGCAGGGACCCTGAAAGAGAACTGAGGGTGTAAGGTGAGGCGGTGGAAACACAGATGCTGGGCAGCCAGCAGTGATGCCTGCTGCTGGCAACTCGTTTTTTTTTCCTTAAATAAACATCTGTAAACATAGGTAACTGCCGTAAAGCTTCCATTCTGGAAAGGAAAAAAGGGGACCATTTGTCCCTAGCAAATTTCAAATCCTAGTGTGCAGACATACCGTGGAGTCTCTGAATTAACAGTGGAGTAACTTTCTTAGAGGGCCAGGAATGCTCTGATTCGACTCTCTGTGAGGACCTGGCATCTGTTTCCTCCACTGAGGGCGATGGAGGTGTGAATAGCACACTGGGCCTTCAGAGTCCGGGTTCCTTTGGGGGTATATGTGCCCCGCCCCCACAAAGAGAAAATACACAAACAAACAAAAACATTAGTAATCACCTGGACTTTTGATGACTATTCCACAATTACACTGGGCAAGTCCTATAAAAGAAAAAAAATATTCCGATACTTGTTAAAGATGCTAACAATGACTTTATTCAAGGGAGATTACTACCTTGGAGTTTCACAGAGGTGGAAAAATACTGGGCTCAACTCTGGAAAAATGGGGATTTATAGCCCAGGAGCATCATGGGGGTCAGTGGGTGGAAAGTTACTCAGAGGAAACATCAGGGTAAGGAGGATTTTGGCTGAACTGATCTAACAGGGTCCCTGCTAAAAGTGGCCTGTGATTGGACATTGCCTGGTGGACGGATGGATGAGAAATGTGATCAGATATCCAGGGTGAGGGGTTCTTGCTCTTAAGAACAAGGCCCCAGCATGAAGCTTGATCAGAAAAGGGCTTAGAGGAGCCTAAAATTCAGTTAAGGAGAGAGCCTTTGTCAGTACCTGTAGCCACAATCCCTCTAGAAACATAAACTGTAAGTTGAAGATTCTAACTTCATACCTGAAGGTATGTGGTCTTCTCCCACCCAACTTCGGCTCGCTATTGCTGCCTCAAGACTACTCAGTGATAAACTCAGAGGTGAGGGCGATGCCTCCAAATTATTTTTTTACTGGACTCATCCCCATTGAGAACTTACTAGAAAATTGTTTGCTGACACAATCTTATTTCCAATGTAGGCTACCCATTCACAGATGATGCTTATATTATAATGCTTATATTATGTTGTGCTATACGAAAACATCACTTTTTCATTTAAAAATGTGGTTGGTTTTGGCTCACTAGTTTTTACTTGGCTCAACTAGTGATGACCTGTATTTTAGGTACATAAATTTTGGGGCCTATTTTGGGGCTCCTCAGCCTCTCTCATTTGCAGGCTGCAGGAAGAACCCTTCTAAGTAAGGCAGTATGTCCTCCGATAAGTGCTTCCAAACTGGGTCACTATAGTTTGAATTCTCCCACACCTGGAACAATGTTGATGAACGTGGGGAAAATGACTGATCTATACCAATACTCTAATTTTATCTACTACTTTTCTACCACTGAAACCTTCACACACAGCACAAGGTATGATGGCTGAAAATTGATCGATATATCTGACTGAATGACATGTCATATGCCTTCCAGCTGGGATATCTGAGTGCTTACTGCTAGTAGCTCCATTTCCATTTCAACTTAAGATCCTGTTATATGCAGCACACTGCACTGAGGTATGATCTCTTTTAAGTCAGAATTGTTACTTGCAAATAGCCACTTCCCTCCTGCCTACTTTATATAGACAGGTATTTACTCCAGGCCATGCTGTTGCTCACAGATCACATCAGGATGGCTGGAGAAACACACTCAAGATGAGGTTTCCAGGAAGGATGCTCAACATTTTGCTATGGAACTCTCTTGCCGGAAGAAAAGCAAAGCATCACCATATCACCATTTGTCTAACACAAAGGGTCACTAACTTGTAACTGACCTTTCACGGGTGGCTTCTAACACCAGTGCAACTTTGACATCAGAAACTGGAGTTTGCAAGCACAGGTGAGTCACTGTACCCGGCTCTGTCGATGAAGGTCAAAGCCTTTGCTAACTCCTACACTGGAAAGGTAGTTCCACTCCACAGGTTTCCTCAGTTGCTCACCTTTGAACTTTCACTTGAGTGCATTTGATCAGCTGAGTCTAGATGGCGTGCTTGTGACCTAACAAAGGGACATGGAACATTGGGTAGTTATGTTTATGTTGTGAGGCAAATGCATTGTTGGTGAATTTCTCCAAATTTAGAATTTCTATTCAAAAGATCAATCTAACTATATGTTCTAGGGTTTCTTCCTAGGTAACATGATATACTGCATTAGTTTCATCACTTTGGTGACTACAAAGTACACACTGACCCCTTCCTATACTGTTCTTATAAATTTCGGACCTACATATTAAAGTATGTATATCTACAAATTTATATATCTATTTGGTTTTAGGGCCAATAACCTGATTGTAACCTGAATAACCCTAATTGTTTTTTCTGGTTCTATATTAAATTTCTTTTCTCAGGCTTTCCGTGTTACAAAACTAGCTAAGTTCTCTCTATTTTACATCCATTAGCATCCAGTGCTGAGCAGAAGTAAAATGGCATATTTGTTTCTGTGAACATGAATGCACATTTGGTTTGTGTATTTGAGTCTCCCTCACTAACGACACATACCAGAGGAAGGGATTATTCTGTCTGTCTTCTAGCTCAATGGTACTCAGAAAACACATAATGAAAGAGTAAGAAATGCACGACTAGTTAAAACATGGTATAGTATGGTCTAACAATTCTGAAATTGTACACATATATATGAGTATAGTGAATTAACTCATAGGTCATTTAAACACATTAGATGAGTATGAATCTTCATTTTTATGAATTAATAACCCTTTTTATTAAAGCTAGTAAGCTGTAGGTTTCATAATTCAGTTATTTTGCATAGGCAAAAGGAGTCCAGTGCTTTTCTTTTGTATTTACTTTGCCATATCACTGACATGCACATTTCATGCTTTCACGCTGTCGAATTTTGAATTTGAAACGTGCACCTTAGCAGTGAACTGCAATGATTAGGAGCTCAAGCTGTAGTGTCAAAAATCCTGACTTTCCCCTGTGCCCTGCCACTTTCTGTGCCTGGATTTAGTGCCATGTCACTTTATTCCTCTGTAAAACTAACTCACAGGATTATAAAAAAGAAAGTGAAATAACACATATGAAGAGGTTAGCATAGATCTCAGACTATATTAACCACCCAAGAAGTAAATGCTATTATTTATTTTTTATTATTTCATGATCTTATAGGGGTACGAATATTTTGGTTACATGTAAGTCCTTTGCCTTGCCCAAGCCAGGGCTACAAACATGCCCTTCCCCCATACAGTGAGCTCCGCATCCATTGGTTGTGAGTTTACCCACCTCCCCACCTGGCCGGCACCCAGTGACTATTACTACCATGTGAGCACCTTGGTGTCCATCAGTTAGACCCATGATGGTGAGTACATGTGGTGTGTTTTTCCATCTTTGTGATACCTCATTTCAAAGGATGGGCTCAAGCTCTATCAGATATATAAAGTGTTCACAAAGCAGACAAAAATATACATTGGGGAAAAGATTCTCTATTCAATAAACAGTGGTGGGAAGACTGGATATCCACATACAGAAGATTGAAACTGGATCCCCATCTCTCACCTCTCACAAAAATCAACTCACGATGGATAACAGACTTAAACCTAAGGCATGAAACCTTAAGAATTCTAGAAGAAAATGTTGGGAAAACTCTTATAGACATTGGCCTAGGCAAAGAAAGAAGACCTAAAGCCAACACAGCAACAAAAATAAATAGGACATGATCAAATTAAAAAGCTTCTGTAGAGCCAAGGAAACTGTCATTACAGTAAATAGACAACCTACAGAATGGGAGAAAATATTTGTATTTTACACATCTGATAAAAGACTGATAACAAAAATCTATATAGAACTTAAGAAAATAAATAAGAAAAAAATCAAACAACCCAATCAATAAATGGGCCAAGAAAATGCTATCATTACAGTATAAATATTACTCTTGTTGGTAGAGTGGTATTGTACTTATATGAGAGAATGTGACTAAAGACAAAAGCTTTTGGCTGGGTGTGGTGGCTCATGCCTGTAATCCTAGCACTCGGGGAGGCTAAGGCGGGTGGATCACTCAAGTCAGGAGTTCAAAGACCCAGCCTGAGAAAGAGAGACCCCATCTTTACTAAAAATAGAAAGAAATAATGGCCAGCTTAAAATATATAGAAAAAATTACTGGCATGGGCGCATGCCGTAGTCCAGCTACTCAGAGGCTGAGGCAGGGAGGATTTCTGAGCCCAGGAGTTTGAGGTTGCTGTGAGCTAGGCTGATGCCAAAGCACTGTAGCCTGGGCAACAGAGTGAGACTCTTTAAAAAAAAAAAAAAAATTAAAAAAAAAAAAGACAAAAGCTTTTAACTTAGAAGAGCTTATATACTTCAAAAGATAAATGTACATAAGTCATCATTGGATCTACATTATTCTAAGAATATCAAGCTCAGATTGTTACTGAGCAAGGGCTTGCTGTCTGATGTGCATAGATGCCAATACCATGGCACCAGCTTTGAGAAAAGAACAGGCCTCATGGTGAGTCTACTGGCAAGGAGACAAGAGGCAATGCTCACGTCTGTCTCCTGGCCCTGGGGCGCAGGGGCAGGTTTCACTGGTAGAGGGTAACAGTAGGAGAGACTGAGAATCCAATCAGCATGCTCCGATTGGGTGGTGCAAAGTGATGGCGAGGGCCCTTGGTCGTAGGTCCACAGGGCAGCAAAACAGGGCACCTCTCACGTCTTAGCTCTGCCCCTGCTCCTTGCCTTGGTATGGATATTCTGGTTCCACCTGTAGTTGCTTTTTTCTTTCTGGCCAGCTGTGTAGTTATGAATCAGACACAGTTGGTTCATCTGGGCACCCTCAGGTTACGTAACTTGCTAACTGAGGGTTTGCCGCACTGAAAAACAACTCACGACTGTGCTACACAAAAGTTAAACCAGATTTGACTGGTTCTGCAGTTAGAAAATGTATGTCTAAGAGACAAAATATTAGTGAATTCACTTATTTTGTGATGTTATTGACAAATTGATAACAACAAGCACATACTATGATATCTTCATGGTGTGAGAGATCAACTTCTTATGAAACATTAAGAAGAAACAATTGTGCTATATGATTTTAAAGATAATGCAAAATAATACAAGAAATGCATTAATTTTACGTTATATCTATAATAGGTCACTCAACTCAGTCAACTTGGGCCCTTTTCCCCAGTTATTACAAATAAAACGTTCAAATGAGTTACAGATTCAGAATTATAGTTAATATTTTTATCAGTTAAAAACAAATAACAGATAGTCAAATTCAATCTAATAAGCACCATTTATGGGATTGGAGAGAATGTTGTCACACTCTGACATGGCGGAGTCCGCGTTCCCGTGGGAGGCCGTGTGGAGGGTTGGTGCACAGCACACGGTGTGGACATCCAGGGAGGAAGGGCCCAAGCAATTTCCCTCATTGTAGAGTCTAAGTGAGTGAAGAACAAATGGAACAGGGATAAAATAAATAAATAGGGAATGCTGTGCAGGCTAGTAAGTCAATAAGATTAATATTAATGAAATAAATGCAATTTTGTATCTAAGCGTGTACTGAGGCCTGCTTGGGGTCATGTTAATTTATAAGGCTTGAGGTATGCACCCATTCCCTGGAGAAGCTGGCCACTTCTTGAGGAAATGGGAGTTGACAGCTCTGAGCTATGTGCCTGGGGATGTTTATCCTGGACTTCCTGGACGGCCGGGGATTGTCTATCCTGGGCTGTCCAGGGATGTTAACCCTAGGCTCATGCCCGGAACTGTTAAGTGAGACCAGTCACTACAGGCCTCAGTTCCTCGCCAGATCCGGGACCTCACGTGACCGGGGCACATGCCTTTTTGGCGCCAAAGCCTTCCTTTGTTCAGACCACTATATAAACTGTATAAGAAAGTCCCTGAGCTGCTTCTCAGCCGCTTCTCCTCCACTTCTTCGCCGCCATTCCTTCCCATTCCACTTCTCGGTGGCCGCAGCCTACCTGCCTGCCTGCCTGCCTGCCTACCTGCCTGCCTGCCTACCTGCCTGCCTGCCTGCCTGCCTACCTGCCTGCCTGCCTACCTGCCTACCTGCCTACCTGCCTGCCTGCCTGCCTGCCTGCCTGCCTGCCTGCCTGATATCCCAGCGAGCTGCCTTCACGGCGGCCTGAGAGACTGCCCGTGAGGATTAGCCCCCGTGGTGAGATTACTGTGACGGTAAGCCTCCGGTGCTGATAATGGGGTCCTAGTGGTGTGATCACTCTTTTGTGTTCTTCCCCTGCGGTACTTGTCTCTTACCTTTCTCTCTCTTTTCTCTTCCCCCTTAATAAATGTAAGTAAAACTGGCGTGGCTTCTTGTGGTGTGTCCTGCGGATGGAGCTTAAATTAGAAAGAAGTCTGTGCACAGCAACTGATAAAATTAATTATCAATACAAAGCGTAATTTCCAGTAGCCATTCTCCTTGTTTCTGTCACATGCCTGAATGATCTTTTGGAGGTCCGTAGGTGCCACTTTTTATCACCTCAAGCACCATGAGGAAAGCGATTCTCACGCTGTGGGAGTGGGATGTCTCAGGACATAGCTGAGGAGCTTGGAAAATCCAACACCCAAGGCCCCTTCTGCTCCCGCACCCTGGGTCTCTGTGTCCCCTTGGCTTTCCAGGAGATTGCTGGCACATGGCAGTGTTTGGCGACCACTACCTCAGCAGAATCCCAGAAAATAAAATGGCAGGCAGGGAGATAGAGTGCTCTGGATAATTTCCTAAAACATTCTCTGTCTCTTATGCTCTGAATTATTTTTATACAATCCTCATGTTTTCTCTTTTGCACCTCTTTTTTTTCCCTCTTTCTTGGCACATTTAAAAGATTTATATTTTCTCGTCTTTCCAAATGTTCAGGTGTTTGGCACCTTTCAGTCTACTATACCGATGCTTGACAGAAATCAGGCTTTGCACAGACAGATTGCACCAGACTGTGCACAATCTACCCCAATGCTTTTTGCAAATTTAAAGTTTTGGCACTCCCTCTTGCATGGTGTTTGTTTACAGAGGTTCAGCTTGATAGATTCCCTGGTGGATAAAGAAGAGACAATTTCAAATAGATAAACAAGATATTTTTGTTCTCCAGGAAGTACAGAATTGTTTTTTTAATACAAGATAAATAGTATGAGTGTTAGTAATATGAAAATAAATATTCCTTATCCATTTAACGTAGTTGATGGCCTCTTGCTATTTTGTAATTATCTGAACAAACACAGAACATCTAAGTAGGTTCTGACTTTGTCAAATATGCAGCCTGTTCTTTCTCCCTCTTGGTAATCACAGGAGGAAAACAGTGAGCATGTGGGGCTATCAAATGAAGGTTTAGTTCCTCCTCAGTTGCATCTCCTAGAAGAAATTGATACTCCAAAGAAGTAATGAACATTTGCTTTATAGCACAGAAACCTCATAAGCAGAACTCAAGAGAGATTTATGAATTAAAAGTACATGTTCTTACATTCATGGACCTAAAATATTTTGAGCAATGAGATTTCTAAATATGAAAAGATTATGCTGAAAATAATTTTACATTTGATAAGGACAAATTATGAAATTAAAAAATAGACTTTTAAAAATATCCTGAATGCATGACTAATGTGCATACTGCAAAAATATTTTTAAATATCAACCTATTTTAAATATATTTTAATTTTCAAAATACTCTGGATATTAATAATATTATTTACTAATTTGTATATTTTAATTAACATAGAGAAACATAAGTTAGTTATAAATAGTGGATGGATAAAAATTTATTCTGTTGGAAAGATTATGAATAAAAGCAATTTGAATTGGATTAATGATTGTGACCAAATGATAAGAATTAATTTAAGAACTATAATTATGTAGATATTACTGTAAACAAATTTCATCACAGAATAAATGGATCATATAATTGTAGGCAGTACATTTTATTGAGACATTTAAATGTACAATGCCAAATTATAAATATTTGGGGAAATGTGTATTGACTATATTACATTATGAATGCAATATTAAAATTAATATTAAAATAAAACCAAAGTTTCAAACTTTGACCTTCTTCATAGTTATTCATTCTCTCTAAAAGCCAATCCCTGAATTTAACTCCCACAAAGCCTTCAGATTTTGGAATCAATTAAACAAGCAAATAAGACTACAATTATGTTTTCCCCCCTTCTGCTTTTTATCTTATATTTACATACTGCTCTCTCTTATTTAGACTTTGATTGACTATTTCTGATTGACAATTTTATTAATTTTTAATTTGTTTTGAGTAATTTTCTTATTTGTTATTTTTGGGGACATGGGATCTGGTGGTGTTTTCTTCTGAGTATGGGCCTGTCTGGTAAAATTCTGTACATGTATAGGTTGCAGATTTGATTTGAAGATTCATCTTCGGGCATGTTTGCATTTCTGTCCTCAATTAGAGCAGCTGTTGAACAATGGTTCTTGGTGTCTCACGTCCTGGACACTGTTGTCCGCACGGGGCATTTGGGCATCGGACAATGTCCCAGCTTTATCTCCACCTAGGTTATCTTCAGAAAAGAGTCCAGATTGCTTTGAAGCCTCTATACCATTTGTCAGACATCCTCTTTGTTTCGGTGCCAGCAGATGTCTAGTACCTGCTAGATATCTCTGTCATCCCCTTCGCCACACACACCCACGCAGAGCCTCGCTCGGGGCTTCTCCCTTACGCTGCCTTCCATATCTGATACTCCTGTTTTCTCCTGCCATGAAACCTTCTTTTTAGGGAAACAGCCATCCTCGTCTCACCCTATAGTCATCATTTCCAGTCCTCCAATTTTGTGGAAATTGTATATTTCCTCCTTGTTGGAAAGAGACTCGTGATTTAAAATGCGGTGATCAGAGCACTTCAATCCAATTCCCACAGCACTCTGTACAGAGTGACTCTGTGACTCACCGTGGGATCCCTGAGCTTTGTGGGCATGGAGGATACGGGCCAGGAGGGAGACCCCACCTGAAAATGGAGCCAAGTAGTGAAAGGCATTTGCCTCTTGTGCCTCCATCCATTCTGCCCAGGCTGGACACGAGCCAACCTGTCTCCTTACTGATTAAATTAATTTACATTGTGTTTTGTCACCTGTAACCTGAGCACCACCAATAGATCACATGCCAGGCCTTATTCCCTACTCAGCATTCCCTGTGCATATCATTTCCCAAGGGAGCATGCCCATCCCACCCCGACTTCTGCTATCTCCCTTCTTTTCTGTGGATGAGCCCATGGCATGTCCGAGGATGTCCTTAAGAGCACAGTGCATCGCACCTGCTCCAAGGGAGTGCCGGGGTCAGGCTGTTGACCTGCTCGGGGACCCTGGAGGGGGACTCTTCCTGGTGCCTCCCACAGCCCCACCCAGGTCTTTATGCTCAGACTGAGGCCCCTTCTTCTACTGCTCCCAGGCAAAGACCCAGCAGGCATGACAACAAAGCCGATCATTCTACCCAGCAAGGGCTCTGTCAACAGGCAGCCTCTGAGGGGACCCCCTGCTGGTTTGGGGAGACTATCTCAAAATTGCTCCACAACGAGCAGGTCTCTCCGCCAACTCTTCTCCCCTCTGTCTTTCACAGGCCTTACCCCTGCACGGCAGTCCCCAGGTCCCTGCCTACTCCTGCTCCTGTTGCCTTTATTGCTCCCAGAGTATTCCCCAATAAATCTCTTGCATATGGAATCTCTTCTTGGTTCCTGATTCTCAAGCGGACCCAACCTACACATGGAGACAATTCATCAATTAAAAACATGACATTTAAATGGGAATTCCAGGTGATTGCAGGGAAGATCAGTTCATCCAAAAGGCCCAGTGATATTTGGTTTATATTAATAATACTCTAACAATAGTCACTAATTGAGACATCTGGATGCCTTCTCAGATCTTCATTGTACATTTAGCATGTTGCTCAGAAAGCCTTTCCACGGGTCACTCTGTTTTCTAACACTTCATATATTTTTCTCTAGCGTTTGACTGACATTATAAAAGAAAGATTTTTTTTTCTTCTACTGTTCTTGATTTTGTTAAATTTCCCCATTCTCAGGTGTTTCTAATTATATGACCAGTTCTATCTTTTGTCTCTCAGAACCCAAAGGCACATTGTGTTAGAACGTCATAAGCACTAATGTCAAGACAGAGAGGACTGTATGTTAAGCTTAGAATCTCAGCTGGGCCATTTGTATATATTTTCACTGCACACATCAAATGGTACATATTTACTCTCATTGATATTTTCTAAAATGAAGAATAATTAAAACTGTTATAAAATCGGTCTAAGGACAACCAAATGTTTACTATTCTTATTCTTTGGAAATATTAGAAATAAACATTTAACTTTTTCCCCCAACAAATCATCAAGTATATGCAAGAGCAGACAGATGACAATTTTGCCATCAGTATTTTCCCATCCACCAGATTGATGTGAAACCTTGAAATGTACACTGCTCACGCCCTGGGAGATGAATGAACTAATCTTCTTTCATAAAACAGAAATGTTCCTACTGGTTTCAAGGCCACATTAGTATATTCTATTCTGGTTGCTTGGGATAAGCTGTCAAATTTCCTGGTTGCCTGCGGTTTCATAGCATGCAGTCATAAAGCACCCACTGTCGGTGTAAAGCAGTTTTTTGTTTTGTTTTGTTTTCTTACCAGAGAAACAGCATTGCCATTGTATGTCAATTAGTTTCCTGCATCTACACATGCATTGTATCCACACCACTGTCTTTGGCTTCATGCTGAATATTCAAGTCTTATTTAATTCAATTTTAATTATTGAATTATCTCCATATACTCGCTTTTAAGTGATTGAAAAGTGACACATTTTTTTGAAAGTTTCTATTAGACATGACTTTTCCATAATATCTTCCCCAATTACTCCATATATTGAAAACCAATTTTCAATTGTGATGTTTCTTAAGACCAACACAGTTTTTAAGTGTGACATTTTTATCTTGATCATATTTCCACATGGCAGGTAGTGGTGTTTATTCACAGCCATTTTAGAAAACTATAATGAAAAATAAATTCAGATAGTGTATGTCCTTCCTGGAGACGCAGCGATAACATCAATCGGTCTGAAGTGATAGCATGCCATTTAAATAGGCAACGTATCACATTTATTATTTATTTATCTCTGGCTCCAAACACTTTGCCTAACATATGCTATATAACCCATAAAAGTCTGAATGCTTACAATGAATGAATGAATGAATGAATGAATGAATGCTGGTGTTATTCTCTGAAGAGTTCAGACTTACCACTTTTGCAGCCCTGCTGTCTGGTCCTCAGTGCACTAGTTTGAAGAAAGAAAAAAAAGATCCAAGTGGGTAGTACAGGGTAAGGATGGAACGATCACACTCTCTTGAGACAGGCTGGGTCCCTTGCAGGAGCTCTAAGAATCTGAAGATTTCTAGGGATGCGGTTCATGATTCCTGCCACAAAATGACATTCTTTTGCATACTGTATTAATCATTTCAGTAATAGCCTTGAAAACAATTAAAAATTTCAAAGCCATTCACAGAATACATAGTCTTAAATAGGCATCTGTCTGTTCCTTTATAACACACTTATGTAACTCAAATTTCTCTAAAATTTCAGATAAAAATCCTATGAGATCAAGAAGGCCAAAGTAAAAAACAAAAAAAGAAAGGCAAATGCAACTTTTATCAATTTATTTTAAAATGAAGCCTGCAGTGTACATTTAAGCTAGTTCTAATTTAAACATATATTCCTCCAGAACTGACCACTGCTGTCATTCTGTCGTTTAAAAAGTGGTTCCTGGTTCCACCAGGAGTAGCTCAGACAATACGTGGCGTGGAGCTGCTCGGAGGTTTGGAGCCATTTCTGTGTGTGGGCTTGCTTGGCCTCTCTGCTGCGAACCTGCGAAGTTCCCAGCCTTCCCCCTAGATCCCGTCTTCCCACCCACCTTGGCTAACACTCCCAGCTGGGGCTTCCACTTGGACTCCTCCTCACCCCGCACACAAAACAAACTCACTGGGTGCAGCGTGCCTGCCAGGGTCTGTCTCCCAGATTAGGAAAGCAAAATCAAAAGAGGAGCATGTATGTTGGCTAAACCTGGTCCGTTCTGACAATAGGCTTCTCCCTTGCAATGGGATAGCAGTTTATCTTAAAGTTCCAGTTCCCTGCCCTAGTCAAAGTCTGTCTGAAAGGCAATCTGCTTAAAAACTCTTCTGCTATAAAACAGTTTTGCTAAATTGATACACAGAAACAAGTGGTGTTTGTTTGAAATACATGGCATTTTCCTTCATAGCAGAAACATAAAACATATACATATATACACACAGTGTGAAATTTCTTTATCTGTATCTGTATTTACATCCAGATACCTAGATATGGTATAATGGAATGAGCCCGCATTGACTCACTACCAAGAGAAGAACTAGAACATTACCACCCACATGTGCCTTCCCTATTTATTTCAAGTCTCAATCTTGCGTTCAGTAGTACCTCTATCTTGTTTTGTGTTTATTATTTCCTCATCTTTGCTAAAACATCTTTCAATTACCTATGTGTATATTCTAAAACAGAGATTGCTCAGTGTAGCTTGTTTTTGAGCATTATAAATACTATAATATTGGATGTAGCTTTCTCTTATTTTTCTTTCAATAGGATGATTTTTAAGATTTATCTGGTGTTGTTTTTGTACTCATACCTTATTTACTTTTCTGTAATGTTTATGTCCATGTTCCATTCTATTTTGTAAATTATATATACATAGGTCTGGTGATTGACATTTGGTTTATTCTCCATTCTTGGTGTTCATGAGAAGTGCTATTAAGGACATTTTTGTACATGTTTTAAAAATTGGTCCAAATTGCTTTATAAATTGGTTTTATACTCAACACAGCATACTACCTAGTTTTGACTAATCTCTTATCATAAAATAATGTTTTACTCTTTTCATAATTTCATTACTCTGAATATAATTAAGGTTACTTTCATGTGTTCATATGATAGTATTTATTCTTTTGCTGAGAAATATCAACTCATGTATTTTGCTGACATTTACAGAGTTCTATTTTCTTTATGCTTTTCAGAAATTTTCATATATTCTGAATATATATTAGTATAATATATATATATATATATATTATTGCTAACACTTTTTGCCATTTTGTAGAATGATGAAGCTTTTTCTTGCCTGAGATCATAAGAGGATTTTATATGTTTTCTTCTAGATGTCTAAAGTTTTGTGGGGTTTTTTTGAGACTTTTTTATATTTTTTTTTTTTCTTCAGAATATTACGGGGTACAAACGCTTTGGTTATATACATCGCCTTTGCATTGCCCGAGTCACAGCTACAGGTGTGCCCTCACCCAGACAGCCCACACTGCTTTGCACTGTCAGGTGTGCATTTTTAAAACAAATTTTAAGGTTTCAAATAATGCCCTTGCCCTCCTTCCCCACACAAGTCTGAGCTTCAAGCCTGACCGTGCACATCTCACTCATATGTATGTATATACCCGCCCCATCCTCACCCCTCCCACCTGCCCAATACCCAACTAATGTAATTCCTATGTGTCCACTTAGGTGCTAATCAGTTAATACCAATTTGCTGGTGAGTAATTGTGGTCTGTTTTTCATTCTTGGGATACTTCACTTAGGAGAATGGGTTCCAGCTCTATCCAGGAAAATACAAGAGGTGCTATATCACCATTGTTTCTTAGAGCTCCATGGTATACATATACCACATTTTATTAATATACTCATGTATTGATGGGCAATTGGGTTGTTTCCACAGCTTTGCAATTGTGAATTGTGCTGCTATAATCATTCATGTGCAGGGGTCTGTTTTGTAGAGTGTCATTTGATCTTTTGGGTAGATGCCCAATAATGGGATTGCTGGATCAAATAAATGGTAGATCTACTTGTATCATTTTAAGGTATCTCCATATTGCTTTTAACAGAGGCTAAACTAGTTTGCAGTCCCACCAGCAGTGTAGGAGTGTTCCTATCTCTCTGCATCAACGCCAACATCTATTGATTGGGGACTATTTGATAAAGGCCATTCTTACTGGAGATAAGTGATATTTCATTGTAGTTTTCATTTGCATTTCCCTGATGATTAGAGATGTTGAGCATTTTTTATATGTTTGCTAGCCATTATTCTGTCTTCTTTTGAAAAGTTTCTGTTCATGTCATTTTCCCACTTATTGATAGGGTTGTTTGATTTTTTCTTGCTGATTTTCATGAGTTCTAAGTAGATTCTGGTTATCAGCCCCTTAGCAGATGTGTAGGATGCGAAAATTTTCTCCCATTCTGTAGGTTGTTTGCTTTCATGACTGTTTGTCTATGAAGAAGCTTTGTAGTTTGATCATGTCCCATTTATTTATTTTTGTTGCTGCTGTGATTGCCTTTGGGGTCTTCTTCATAAATTCTTTGCCTAGGCCAATGTCTAGGAGAGTGTTTCCAACATTTTCCTCTAGAATTCTAATAGTTTCATGCCTTAGGTTTAAATCTGTTACCCAGCGTGAGTTGACTTTTGTGAGAGGTGAAAAGTGTGATCCTGTTTCAGCCTTCTACAAGTGGCTATCCTTTTTCCCAGCACCATTTATTGAATAGGGATTCTTTTTCCCAGTGGATGTTTTTGTCTGCTTTGTCTAAGATTAGATGGCTATATGGGGATGGTTTTATATCAGGATTCTCAGTTCTGTTCCACTGGTCAATATTCTTATTTTGGGGCCAATACCAAATTGATTTAATTACTACAGCTTTGTAGTATAGTTTGAAATCTGGAATATTGATACCTCCCATTTTGTTTTTATTACCTACAATCGCTTTTGATATACGAGGTCTTCTCTGGTTCCAAACAAAGCATAACATTATTTTTTCTATATCTGTGAAAAATGATGTTGGGATTTTAAAAGGGATTGCATTGAATCTGTAGATTAGTTTGGGTAGCATAGACATTTTAATGATGTTGAGTTTGCCGACCCACGAGCATGGTATGGATTTCCATCTGTTTACATCCTCTGCTATTTCCTTCCTCAGTGTTTCACAGTTCTCCCTGTAGAGGTCTTTTACCTCCTTGGTTAAGTATATTCCTAGGTACTTTATTTTCTTTGTTGCTATTGTGAAGGGTATTCAGTCTTTGATTTGGTTCTCAGTTTGATTGTTGCTAGCATATATGAATGCCTCTGATTTCTGTGTATTGTTTTTGTATCCTGAGACTTTACCAAATTTATTTATCAATTCCAGGAGTCTCTTGGTTGAATCCTTGGGATTGGGCCTGACTGACATTTTACAGGACATTCTACCCAAAATCCACTGAATATATGTTCTTCTCATCAGCTCATGGGACATTCTCTAAGATTAACCATATCCTAGGACACAATGCAAGTCTCAAAAATTTAAAAAAATAGAAATCATACCATGTATCTTCTCAGATCACAGTGGAATAAAAGTAGAAATCAACCCTAACAGAAACCCATATTTCTACACAAAAAATGTGGAAATTAAACAACCTTCTGCTAAATGATTACTTCATAAATGAGGAAATCAAGATGGAAATCAAAAAATTCTTTGAACTTAATGACAATGGAGAGACAAGTTATCACATCTTCTGGGACTTTTATTTCCATAAATGCCTATATCCAAAAGTCAAAAACATCACAAATAGACAATCTAATGAATTGGCTTAAAGAGCTGGAAAAAGAAGAACAGACCAACCCCAAATCCAGCAGAAGAAGTGAAATAAAAAGATCAAATCAGAACTAAACAAAATTGACAACAGGGAAACTATACAGAAGATTAGTAAAACAAAAAGTTGGTTCATCGAAAAAATAAACAAAAGTGACAAGCCTCTGGCTAGGTTAATGAAAAGCAGAAAAGAGAAATCTCTAATAAGCTCCATCGGGAACCAAAAAGGAGACATCCCAACTGATCACATGGAGATACAAGACATAATCTACGAATATTACAAAAACCTTTTTGCACACAAACTGGAAAATGAGGAGGAAATGGACAAATTTCTAGAAACACACAACCTTCCTAGGCTCAACCAAGAAGAAATAGAATTCCTGAAGAGACCAGTATCAAGAGCCGAAATAGAAACAGCAATTAAAAATCTTCCTAAAAAGAAAAGTCCCAGTCCAGATGGTTTCACACCCGAATTTGACCACACTTACAAAGAAGAACTGGTGCCTATATTGCAGAAATTATTCCACAACATCGAGAAGTATGAGATCCTTCCAGAGTCATTTTACCAAGCCAACATCACCTTGATCCCAAAACCAGGAAAGGATGCAACAAAGAAAAAAGAAACTACAGACCAATATCACTTATGAAAATAGATGCAAAAATTTTCAACAAAATCCTAGCCAACTGAATCCAGATGCTTATCAAGAAAATAATCCATCATGACCAAGTTGGCTTCACTCCAAGGATGAAGGGATAGTTCAACATATGCAAATCTCTAAATGTAATTCACCACATAAACAGAAGCAAAAACAAAGACCATAGGATCCTTTCAATAGATGCAGAAAAAGCATTTGACAAAATTCAACACCCTTTCATGATAAGAACACTTAACAAAATAGGCATAGAAGGGGACATACCTAAAAATGATACAAGCCATATATGACAGACCCATAGCCAACATCATACTGAATGGGGAATAATTGAAAGCACTCCCACTTAGAACTGGAACCAGGCAAGGTTGCCCACTATCTCCACTTCTATTCAACATAATGCTGGAAGTCCTGGCTATAGCAATCAGACAGGAAAGTGAAATTAAAGGTATCCAAATGGGTGCAGAAGAGATCAAACTTTCACTGTTTACTGATGATGTGATATTATATTTATAAAATCCCAAGGATTCAACCAAGAGACTCCTGGAATTGATATATGTCTAAAGTTTTGACTTTCAGATTAAAATCTTTGATTTTTTGTATAGTGTGAGGCAATATATTAATCACCTTTGTTTTCTCATAAGGAAAATATGGAATTTATTATTTTTACAACCTTTACAAATGTTTATTGTACCATAATGTACAAATAGTAACATACACTGAAAGTACTGCTTGATGAATTTTCACACATGGATATCGTGACCAAGTCACGCAGGTGTGACATTCTAAGATAAAAAGCATTCTAGCCTCCCTGAAATTTATCTCATGTCATTACCCAGTCAGTGAACATCTCTGCTCCATGAATTTATCACTATTATATCATAATGAATTGTGTGTGCATATTCTTAAACGCTTTTTTATTAATGGACTCATACAATATGTATTCCTTTATGTCTTACCCTCCAGAGAAAAAGAGCCAGAGGCACCTCGGACTTAGCACAACTTTAGTTCCTTTCAAAGAACTTAATTCCATATATTCTCAAATCATTAGTTTTCTTCATTTCAGGGTGAGAGCACATATAGGGATCCCATGTGGAATTTTTAAGCAACCTATGCTATCCTTCACAACAAGCTGATCTATAACATCAGAGAGATGTGCTTTACTAATTTCTCACTAACTCGCATTTTACTGAAAAAGGTATATTTACATATCTTTAAGGAATATTAATACATCTGATGTTTGGGACAGAAATATGTGAAGAAGTATTAAGGTGATGGCAGTGAACATAGAAATGTGCGTACACTGACATTTGCACATCATACTGTATACTCTAGATGCCCTACACACCCAAAGGCTCAGCAGTTGGAACTCCACAACCAGCGGTTCTCCTTGTTACACATTTCCAGATTTACAGTGTCTTCTTTATTGCTGGACTTTTCTTCAAATCCCATTCTTTCCCATAGTCCTGTTGCTTCAATACCTGTTAACATTCACGCCAAACTATAGTTAGGTCCCATTCAATAAGATATCTGCTTCCTCTCCAAGCCCTGCATTTTCCCACGGAGGAGAGAGAGAAAATTAAAATGACAAAGATAAATATTATTAAGTTAAATTACTAGGATAAGTATGTTTGTCCTTGTCTAGATGAAAAAATACATATAATATATGATGTTTACTTCATGTCTTCTCAAAGGTTTACTAGTAGTCTATATCATTGTTCAAAATTTAGTTATTAGAGAGTGTGAAGTCAGAACTGAATTAAAATTAGGCTTATATTTACAGTTTCCATAACACAGAATTTCTTGTAACATTACTGCTTTGCTAATGGAAAGAAACTTTGTATTCCTAATTATAACCAGGTAATACTTTCATACAAGAAAGGAATTAGATTTCAGTAGGACATAGACTACTAATTTTTCAGACAGAAGAGATACTGAGCAATGGACACACTGGCTCTAAACAACACCCACACCCACAGGAACACATAAATGTTAGGAAATCTACAGTTAGCAACAGGACGATACTTACTTGATAATTAAGGTGCTTTGAGTGTTTTCAAATGCAAATACCCTGAACTTTCTGGGATTAATTAATGAAGAAAGTGACAAACCCAAAAACTGAATGCTGAGGGACACAAATAGCCGAGGGCACACAGAGATCAGAACACCTTCTTCTTAGTTTTGTCAAAATTACATTTTTTTTCCTAAATTTTTTTCTTTTTTTTTGAGATAGACTCTCACTCTGTTGCCTGGGCTAGAGTGCGGTGGCATCAGCCTAGCTCACAGCAACCTCAAACTTCTGGGCTCAAGTGATCCTCCTGCCTCAGCGTGCCACCACTCGCAGTTAATTTTTTCTATTTTTAGTAGAGACAGGATCTTGCTCTTGCTCAGGCTAGTCTCCAACTCCAACTCCTGAGCTCAAGTGATTCTCCAGCCTCGGCCTCCCAGAGTGCTAGGGTTACATGAGTGAGCCACTGCTCCGGCCTGGGAAGATTACTTGAACTGTATTCCTAGGATTTCTAAATTTCACTGCATGTAAATTATATCTCCATAAAAAATTATTTAAGGGAAAACAGAAGATATTTTTTTCTTTCATATGGAATACAGAGGAAACAATGTCACAGTTTGCCTTCTCCAGAAAGCAATCTTAGCAGATCTTAGCCAATGTTCTTACTCATGCTAATTGCTGAGCCCAGAGTGAACAAAACCAGATTTGAAAGCATTCACAGTACTGTGCTTTTAAAAATGTCCATGCTTGTCTAGGTTTAACCTGATCACTTTAATTATAAGTTTCTACATAATATAAAACACCCATACTAAATTATTGAATGTTATTTAAATAATCACTGAATCGTTAAAGCATACTGTGCCTGGTATATCCAATAAACTCAACTTGGGAAATGTAATTAGAAATTAATTTTCTTTTTGTTTCATTTAACCTGCTCCGGGGGTGGCATAAATTACTTTTGCGCTCCCTCTCAAGGAATAAAAGTCTATTGTCACTTTCGGGTACATAGCTCCAGAGGCGTCTCCCCACGTTGGAGCATGCCGTGGGGGCACTCACCTCCAAAGCGGGCATTCTTGCTTATTTTCTTATTCCCGTGCACCTGTCCCCCAGTGGAACGGCTGACTTTGGGCAAAGGGGTCTGAATGATCTTTCTTAACTTGTCTTGTCATAAGATGACTTCTTAGGCTCCCAGCCCGCAGAAGCCGAAGGCTGAGTCTTCCCTTCTGGGCACCGCACACGCCCGGCCCGTGCCGAGGCTCTTGCCAACGCCTGGCCGCCCTCCCGGCTTTGCTGCTCTGCGCGCCCGTCCCTGGGGGCCGCGCGCCCGTCCCTGGGGGCCCCGCGCCCGTCCCTGGGGGCCGCGCGCCCGTCCCTGGGGGCGCGCGCTCGCGGGCAGTCCCCGCCGCACTCTCCCGCGGTGCCAGCGCTCCGGCCCGCGCCGGGCCCTCCTCTGGGCACCACCCGCTGTCGGGGGCACAGACAGACCCGTCAACCCGCCTCGCGCCCGGCCGGCGCTAGGGAAAGTCGGCCAAGACCGCGCGCCGCGGGGGGACCGGCCGCGCCTCCCGGGAGCAGGACTCTCGCCGCCGCAGGACTGGGCCCGGCTGGCCGTGTCCCTTTCTCCCAAGAAATGCCTCCAACAGCCAGACCTCTATTCCTGCTCTCTACAAGTTCGTGCCTTCCTTCCCAGTTTTACAGCCCTCGGGATGGTGGTTACCTTGGAATCCCGCGTAGTGGCCTTGCAGCCCCCTTGGAAGGCTCACATTGTTTTGCGCCTCGGTGCCTCGGTCTTCACTCTCCAGCGACGTCCCTCGTGATGCATGCAGCATGAGGCGCAGTTGTGGGAAAGGCAACTATACTGCATCTAATAAATGCATTGCATTTCTCACATTTAATTCCAAAATGAATAAGATTAATAATTTTAAAGCAAAAGGAAGGAACCTTTCTTTACAACTTTTCTCTTTCTTTGGTGATTGTTTTTTATTTCAGCATATTATGGGGGTACAAATGTTTAGGTTATATGTGTTGCCTTCCCTCCCGCCCTCACCCCAGTCAGAGTTTCTTAGAGCCAAGAAGCTTCCAGGCTGGCCGCGGTGGCTCACGCCGGTAATCCCAGCACGCTGGGAGGCTGACGCTGGTGGATCGTTTGAGCTCAGGAGTTCGAGACCGGCCTGAGCAAGAGCGAGACCCTGTCTCTACTAAAAATAGAAAGAAACTAGCCAGACAACTAAAAATATACATAGAAAATAGCCGGGCATAGTCGCGCATGCCTGTAGTCCCTGCTACTTGGGAGGCTGAGGCAGGAGGATCGCTTTACCCAGGAGTGTGAGGATGCTGTGAGCTAGGCCAATGCTTCGGCACTATAGCCCAGCAACAGAGTGAGACTCTGTCTCAAAAAAAAATAATAATAATAATTTTTTTTAGATGTGCATAAGTAAGTTTATCAGACTTGGGCTCCAATGAGCTAGATCTTGGAAATAACTGCGGTTTAGCTTTTTGTGCTGTCTAGTTGCAGTAATTCCAAAGGATGCATATTCTAACCTTTCATCACATCTACCAGTTCCCCAACAGGTTTCCCAGCATTTAGATCACTTCCAGTTCCGCGCTTTTCTATTCTACCCAGCAGGACACAAGTGGAGGAAGTGAGGTGATTTGGGGTCTCAGTGCAAACCTAGTATTTTACCTCATGAGTGGACCCTTCTTCCTGCTCAGAGCATTCCCTTGTAGATAATTTATACCATCCACTTCCAAGGGAAAGCTGAGAGACCGGGCTTTGCAATGGGGTGGTCTGAACTTCGCTTCAAATAAGAGACGCAGAGTGTTTCCTAATGGTTCATCTATCACGCAGCATCTGAAAAGCAAGCACCAGCAATATGATAACACAGCACTAGCATATGTTTTGATTTTGCATATTTTAAATTGAAATCCAATTTGTATGCTTGAAGAGATTTATATTCTAGTGATAGAGATATATAAACAGAAAAAAATAGGAGTAAAATGTGGAAAGTGCTATAACATAGATATAAATAGAACACTATGGGAGTGAAAAAACTCACAGTTCCTGGAAGAGAGAGAGTAGCATGTTATTAGACTGAAGAAGAAATAGAAAAGTCATTCTAGTCAGTTGGGGGGGAAATGACCTAATTGTGATTGGGTCATTTTAATTTCAATGCATTTGAAACAGAGACTACATTCAAAATATTTGTCAGACATTTTAATATATATTATTATATTTATAAGCATAAAAACTATGTCATCTAAAGTAATCTAGAAAAATTATATCAATTGATTCAGCAAACATAGTTCTTTTCATATTGTTATTTCCCTTGAAGCATGGGACATCCTTTAAATTTCTTTGTGGTTTTTTATCTGTAACTAAATGCAGTGCGTTCTTGCACCCTAACTTTCCATTACCTTTAATTTTAGAATTTTGTATTTATTTCTCCAATCACTGAAGGACATTGGACTTGGTCTCCTTGACTTGGGCTCTACTGGTCAGGCCTCCTCCCTTGACAATCAGATATCAGCACCAGCTTCCTGCTCCAAACATCCTCCTGCTCTCTGAATGGTGGAATTATGATAAATATATCCCCAGAGACAAATATAAAATCTCTGTTTTAAAAAAACTTAATTACATTTTAAGTTAGTATTGGAAGTGGCCATAAGTTAGCATCATACAAAATATTTTTGCATATCTGTGGTCAGGTTCAAATTTTCGAAGTTAGGAAATTATTAGATTATAAAAATTCGATGACTAGAAACATTATTTGTTGATAAAATATCAGAGACTGATTTTAGCTACTATATTTCTAACAATGATCCTTAAATAACCCATTACATTTTCCTCTCCAAAGTTGGTAAGTGTTCTTAAGCAACTATTTGAATTCTGATTACATGAGGATAAATACCCAAAATGTTTAAAGATGGAGACCATGAACTAATACATTTCATGAACTCTGAGAACTGAAAAGATTTATAGAGCATCTGATTGCATATAAATTAATTGCAATATAGATGAAATGAAGCAAAGACATTAGTTATAGCAGATATAAATAATATGTCTTAGTAGCTAATGACCACTTTTTCACCTTGAGTTCATTGAAATTGGTCATCTTTACATATTATTGTAGAGTAAAATTTATTTTACTCTAAATTTATTTATTACTGTAGAGTCATATTCAACATTGACTCACTCATTTAGCAAATATTTATTGAGCAGTGTGCCTGGGAGATGGGAGTAAAATACAAATAGGCATGACCTATCCCTCAATAATTTTAGTGCAAAGGTATTCTAATACTCATTTTATTAAACATTAATACTGCTCCTACTCATTAACTGCACAGGACTGGATGAGGAGCCGGTGCTTTGCTCTAGTGTGAACTATTAAAGAAAGAATTCTAACCATTTTGTCTTGGAAATGCCTTGCAAAGAATGATCCTTGGTCCCAGAAGAATATGAATTTCACATTACTGATAGGGCTAAGGGGTATACAGGTACTCAGGTACCTCAGATGAAAGCATATAAACGGGTAACAAAACATCACATCATGCCCATATATATTCAATTATTTTTCAATTAAATATAAAAGAAAAAATAACTTGTACACATCAATGACAGTTTGGTTTTCACCCCATACCCCAGAAATAGTGAGTGGTATGAGTAGAACATAGAGTTATGGGATTAAGGGTGTAGGGGAAAAACTGGAAAGGAAAATTGGAGCCACATTATTAAGACCTTTTCTACAGTGATGGGCTATTTAATCCATGTATTTTAGGCAACAGGGAATTCCTCCAGAAGTTTAAGTGAGGTGCTGCCATGGAATTATCTCAGCTCCCTGGGGTGTGGAGGTGTCGTGGCGACACAAGCGGGAGACAGGCATGGGAGGCAAGGCCAGAGACAAGGAGGTGAGCTGGGTGCTACCTTCACAATTCCTCGGGGTGCTCCACAGGGTAGGGTGCTGGGGATGAAGAGTCATTTGCATCACATCCAATGAACCAGAGGAAGTATAAATGATGCTCATATGAGACCTTGAATTTTGGTTGCAAGCGTTTGTTTATGTGCATGTATGTGCTTTCTGTATAGCGACTCTGGTTTTAAGTCTCTTCATGGACTGGCATTACTCAGAATCCCCGGCTCCCATTTCTGCTCTGAATATTTAGGTGATGTCTGGTCACCGAGAGTTATAGCACCCCTGCTATGGTGGCTTGAGCTCCTCTGGCTTTGGGA